CTGGTCTGAGGAAGTTCACCCGGACCTTCGCACAGCTCTTGGACAAGGAGCCACGGAGCAGGCCGGAGCAGAAGCAGGAAGCTTCCAAAAGCAGATATATAATACATAATATATAATATATTATATTATGAATGATATATAATATATAATATATGATATATGATATATGATATATGAAGGAAGCTTCCCGGACCCAACTCGCCCCTGAACTTGAAGGGGTTTGTGCATGGTTGTGACTTACGCAATTGAAGGGTTGATAACAGCTGGACGCATAACAGTTCCAACAAACTAGTCTGTACGACAAAATAGTTAGAGTTAGGGCAAGTGGAAGATCGAACACTGGAGTAATCATGATCTTTATGTCAGCACTGTACATGTGAATTGCAGGAACCTCCGGCCGTGTGCACGAAACGGCTGAATCAAGGGACAAATCGGGATGGGGTCCCGACTATGACTACAGCCCTGCACCTGACCCTGGCCCTCCCCATGTGTTGCCTTAAGCATCCTGGTACGCTGCATTTTGTCTGCAGAAAGCTTATCTTTGAAGCATTGGCAGAAATCTGTGCAAAGTCGGGGTCGAGGTTGCAAGACATCTTCTTTCGGAGGTCCTTTGTCAGTCCTACTCACCAGGTGAGTAGGACTGACAAAGGAAAAGAAGGGCATGGCCGGGGAGTCACAAGCACAAAGCTTTGCAATGCTGTTGCATCCCCGACAACATCTCTATACATGGCCTCTTGAGCTCGGGAAAGCCGCCATTTGCAGGTTTGTGGCTCCTGCTGACAGGCCAAGGCACCTGGAGGCAAGCATGGGATCTGACTGCGTAAACGCTTGTCTAGGTCTTAGGTTGATGGACAGTCCGTCCTTCCTCCAAGTAGTGCAGGGTTTTGCAGGCTTGTTTCGTGTGCGACTATAGGAGAAGACTTCTTTGGTGGCAATGCTTGGGCAGATGAGCGCGCTGCCTTTTTGCAGGCATGCTGCTGCCTCGGCGTGGCCTTCCGTTCGGCCTTGACTTTTGAGCCAGCAGATTGAGTCCTCCAGCATAGCTTGCCGGTCAGAAGTCGCACAGTAGCAGGAGGAGGAGCAGCCGCCGTGGTGGCGGCGGCCGTGGTGGTGCTGTTAGTGCACGCGGTGCAGGTGGTGGTGACGGTGAAGGTGTGTTCCACACTTCACTGATGCACAGTACCAGTCCGATAGCGGCCCCGGGCACGCGAACCTAAAGCTGGCATTGGATGATCAGTTCTCCAATGTTGTGACGGTTGACTTCACTGCCAGAGGCGATGCAACAGTCTCAGCGGGTCTCAGCTGGTGCTGGATTGCACGGAGAGTCGGCCCGGCAGCCTTCCAGTTGCGCGGGAGTTGAAAGCACATCAAACGTCGGACCCGGCAAGCGCTTGCGCCGGCAGCCATGGTTCTACCTCCCAAGTTGTTAGAGTCGACACGTGCACCCAGCATGTGCGTCCGACCACCATTCGGTTCGCGAGCCGTGCCACACAAGCAGAATGTAATGGCCAGAAGGAGAAAGGTCCGTTCTTTCGTGCGGTTTCATTTGAGCCGTCTCCTCTTTCATCTTGGGTCCTGCGCAAAGCTCCGCTGTGCCTCCCTCTGAGGCACATGCCCGACCTTCTCGAGAGGCAGCAGGCAACCCTGCAGCGCGGCATCTTCGGGGCTTGAGGAATGCCCATGAGGATCCTATAGGTCCTATAGGACATCTCCAGCATTTTGCCAGTAATTCGCACAAGAAGATCCGAACGCATGTGTGTATCCGAGTAGGGTCGAAAGGGAGGATCCGTGATGTTACATGCGGTCCAGGATGGGCGCCGGCTTACTGTACCGGCTCAGGATCTTCGGACGTGGTACTGCTCTGTGTGGAAGATTTCGGCGCGGAGTTGTCCTAAGACTTTTGCATCTTCTTAGGCGCCGACAACAACAAGGCGATGAAGCGGGTTTGACATGAAGCATCTTTGGGAACAAGACATAGCTGGTAGCCATAGCAGCCATACCAACGAAACAGGCCGTGGAGCACGATATCACACAAGCGGACTAGCAGCGGGAACTCGACGTCAGGCGATTGATAGTGCCGGCAGCCAGAACCTCAGAAGCTGCAAACCAAGGCGGCTGCTCTGGTGGCTGCAATTGTCCCAAGTTCCACTGAGCTCAGCCTCTACGGCCAAAGACTACCTCAGAACCGCGTTGACATGTCCACGTCTGTTTGGAGATACATGGCTCTAAGCACCCATGCGAACCTGTTTGTGCGGCCATGCCAACACTAAGCTTGAACGCGCAAACCCAGGCAACCAAGTACACAGCTACCAGTAAGGCACATAACTCGCCTCCCAGGCCTGGCTCGCCGCTGGCAATTCATTCGAGACTTCCAGCTTGCGGCTTCTCTCAAACAGTCTATCGACCGTTGTTTATGGCCTGAAGCCTGAGAGCGTCACTGTATGGGATAACAGGAGGGCCTTGGCACCTGGCATTTGCTACTACGAAAGTCTTGCTAGCTGAAGAATCGAAGTACATCTGGCCTCGCGGCGGTTTTTCGAGACTCGCAAAGTCCAGCCAACTACAAACAGATTGTGCTTGGCGGTGTTGCAGGGCAGAAGACTTTGGGCCAAGGCACCACCACCGCTGTCCGCTGTGGCCCTTGCTTTCGGTGAGGGCCTCTGTGTTCGTGCAGCTGCTTGGGCTGGTTGGGTGCTACCGCCAATGCTTTCCTCGCCATCCGAACCCGGAGACATGCATGCCGAGCAAATGCAAACTTTGAAGCCATTTAGGTGCACCCGAAGCTTTCCATAAACAGCCTGCCATTTTTGCGGTGAGCTGAAACAGGTGGCACCATGTCCTCTTGTCAGTCGAACATAGCACACAGCCTGAAGGCCGACCATCTAGTTTGAGTGTCGCAAGGCCGAAGTCCCTCATACTATCCACCAGGACATCGCCACACAACCGCAATGACAGACTGCAGCGCGTTGGCAGACTTGATTCGGCATGCAACTCTGCGGCCCAAGGCGCTCAAAGATTCAAGCGCTGGACCCTAAGATACCCTAAAAGTCTCTCCTAAGTCTTCAACCCGAAGCCCTGAACTCGAAACCCAAAAGCTCTACGCCAGAAACCCACGCGACTCGGAACCAAGCTTTGCGGAGCATGCTCTGGGTCTGAATCTTCGGAAGCAGTGGGAATACTGCACCGCAAAAAGTGAGGGTGGGAATACTGCCCCGTAAAAAGTGCGAAACACCCCGGTTAGCCTATAATGAGGCCCCCCAATTTGCCCCTTTGGTTAAGAGATGTTCGGCGATGCACCGGGCGCAGCACCTCACGGCCCAAGCGGTGGAATTCATCGAGGAGCCTTTGTTTTGCTGGGAGGGGTGGGGGGGTGCGCCATTCGAGCGGTCGGAAAAACAAGCCCCTCCCCACAGTCGAGGAATCTGGCAGTCCTGGCAGTTCTGTGTCGAGGAGGTGGCTTCAGCCGATTTGGCAGATGCAGTTGGCGACCTCTGCACGCAGCACTTGTTGGCAAAGGTCAATGCTGCCGGAGGCTCGGCGGCTCCCTGACTACTCCCATCGTCTTCGAGGTAGTATTTGGTATGCGTTGCAGCGTGTGGGGACAAAGGTGGGAGTCTGCCAACAATCACTCGTTGGTCGGCAGAACTGCCCAGTCCTAGCAACCTGAGGAGCTTTGTGCAGATCAAACAGTAACAAGCTGAACTCTTTCAAGCCAGTGGCGTCTGACACAGCTTCAAACTGATGAACCCAAGGTAACTGCTCCAAAAAGTGTAACTCCTGGACCCGAAACCCTCGTACAAACCTTGTTTGACGACCCGTTAATCATGTAGCCCCATCACACACGTCTGTAAGGGATGGCGAGCCGATTGTCGGTCACACTGTTGTGACTGGCTTGCCGGTTGGACGAGATTGAATTTGCCGGGTTCACCCGAAGCCGAAGCGAGGCCTGCGAACAAGAGGATAGTAACCCATTTGTAGTGGTCCTTATGATAAGGATGCGACTGGTCAAGGTCCACATTGAGGTCCCTCATTTCTCAAAGTCCCATATACAATCAAGCGAGAGCGATTCGGGGCAAGCCAAGGTCTACAGCGCTCTGGGCGGCAGCGACAGCCAAGTCAGCGGCTCGGAGATTGGAGTTGGCACTGGCCTCTGTGCAGATAGGCTAGGGCGGCTGGGGTCTGGTCAGACTTTGAGCCCTTTATGCTTTTTAGGGTCTAGGAGTCTAGGGGTTGCGAAAAGGTTTTAGGGCTGCCTCGATGTGGGCTCCTATAGAACACCAAGTCATATCGCTTGCTACATCAGGGAAGGGTGATGGCCAGGGCGGCCAGGGTCAGTTCACCGGTATAATGGTACCAGCTGGAACTTGAAGCTTTTGGGCTTGGGGCCTTGCAATGTGGTTTCAAGCACTTATTCTGCGAGAGGATGCTTCGGGATGTATGAGCTGGGTTTTGGTTTCCTTCTGCACTCTGAATTGCTTTCGAGCCCTTGCTACGCTCTCTCTCTCTCTCTCTCTCTCTCTCTCTCTCTCTCTCTCTCTTAGTCTGGAGGTTTAGGTTTAAAACAGAGTTTGGGAAGAGAGATGAACGGTCTATATTGGCTTTGTGGTGTAGGGAAATCCTCCAAAACTAGGACGTTGCCTGTCGGCCTGTTTCCTGCAGGCTTTGGCGGAGGCCGTGAGGATCTCAGCGCCAGGAATGCACCCGAGTAGATCTGGTTTTTGCAATAAAGATGGTCATCGAAAGTGGGCAGCACAGGGGAGAGTCTGCAACCGGACGAGAAGTGGCAGAAGAGTAGCCCAAAGGCAAAGAGCAGAGGCAATGGTGGGACTCACGCGTGTGGAAATACGGACGGAACCCTCACACCCGCATCGGACCCGCAACAGGCACTTGAAAACCCACACGGATCTCATAACCATACGAGCTTTACGGGTGTCTTGGCCAAAGTATGACCTGCCATGTAGTTTTCGTCATGTCAGCCGTACTGCTGGCAGAATTGCATCATGCCAAGCTTTATTATTACCATCATCGCCATAGCCATACTCAGTGTCATCGCGATCCTACTTACGGCATACGCAGGGCGAAGCAGATCTGAGGTTGAAGCTCTGGCCAGGGACTGCGCAACTTTGCCGGAGCACCTCGGATTGAGATACACTCGGAGTTCATCAGGCGTGTATGGTGCACATACATAGAGTTTAACACCACAAGTTTGCATGTCAGCTTCCGACATTTCAACCTTCTCGAAGTCATGGATCCGCAGAGCGATGTTCAATCACAGTGGTATCTGCCTTGCGGCTTGTAGTATATATATATATATGTATGTATGTATATGTGTGTATATATATATGTATATGTATATGTATATGTATATGTAATATGTAATATATGTATATGTATGTATGTATATATATATAAGTATGTATATTAGTATAGTGCAGGGGCGACTGGCTCCAGACCTGGAGCTCCAGTGCCTTATGATTATAAGGCCCCTTTTAAAGCTTCGCGTACACCCTGGAATCGTGGCGGCTTCAAGTACCGGCAGGCTTGCAGGAGCAGACGTAAAGGGCCGGTGAAAACAGAAGCTGGTGGTTCCTGAAACCTAACGGGTCCCTTCTTTAGGGGTCTTTCATGAGGCAGAGATCCAAGACAGCTTGGCGTTCCTTTTTTTCTGAAACTCCCAGGTGGGTGGACAGAGACTTCGAGAAGGCTCTCCTGCCCCCAGCCCTACAGGTAGGTGAGATGCTTCTGCAGTCGGGTGAACAGGAGAAAACGTCGGAGGACTACTCATGGGCCTTCGGCCCTGCCGTTGCGGAGGCTGGGTGCGTGTGAGACGAAGCAGCAAGCATCCAATTGTGGTGCAGGCTTGTGCAGCAGCTGCTGCAGCTATCGCCGGCCTTGCCGAGCAGCTTGGCCGATCCAGTAAAGCGTGCTTGTCAGAAGGATGTCGGACCTGATCGAATTGCGCAGTCCGGACCCCCCCGCCCTGCTGTGGAGCTGGCTATCTATCAGGCCTGGGCTGATCGACGATGCTCCAGAGCTGGCACTGGCCTTACTAGTCAGAAGCCGGTGTGCTGTTCCGAAGACTTTAATTTGAGGCCTTGGCTGAGCAACGAGCAAAGAAATGAGGGCGAACCGATATGATAAGTTGAACACGAGTATGCTGCTCTTTTTGCTTGGAGAGCAGCTAGTTTCAACCTCCTTAGCATCTCACTGCTTCAGTTCCATCGGTAACTGTGCTGATAGACTGACTCGTAGACTGATTCGCAGATGATGTTGACGTGCGGGTGTGTCAGTGTCAGCACCTTTGCCTCACCTTCTGCTGGTATCAGAATGCCTTTGGATACGTTGCATCCCAGGCTATGACCGCGCCTTGGCCTCAGAGAGCTGCAGCCTTGGCCTCCAAGTACAGTGGGCCCCAGACGCACACATTGAGAGAGAGAGAGAGAGATATATATATATATATATAGACGTATATATATATATACACACACATATAGATAGGTAGGGTTTGGGGTTCAGGGTTAGGGTTCAAGTTTGAGGGACTCTCATGCTCTGAATCTCCAGCGATGAAATGCATCAGCAACGAGGGAGATATGCGCGAGGTCTGACTGCAGCTAGGCACCAATTCCATAAGCCCCAACCCCCACCCGGAATTGCGGATGAAGGTCTTTTGGAGCCTAGGGCGAGCTGCAAAGCCAACTACTGTAAGCTTGAAAACTGCAGGCTGGAAGCTTTCGCCTTGGATTTGGATTGTCCGAAACCCAGACAACGCTTAGAAAGGGGATGCTGTCGTTTTTGTGATTTTAGTGTTTGTCCGTAGAAGGTAGGTGTGTGTGTGTGTGTGGAATTCAGTTTCGAATCAATCTTTCAAGCCATCCGTGGGTAAGGCATCGGGTGCCACAGCTTCCTGAAAATGTCGCCAGTCAGGGCCACCTTTGCAGCTCGACCTTAGGCCTGACACCATACATCTATGCCGGTCTGTGCCGCACCGGGAAGCTGCAGCTGCATTCTGCTGAAGGACAAGAACAGGGAGGTTTAGGGTTCAGAGATGTCTTGCCTTGAGGAGTTTTGGGGTCTGTTGGGATTCCAGACTCAGGAAAGGCAGAAGGCTCGACGGATCTTTCTGTTCCGGTATACTTGCACCACTTGCACTTCGCATTCAGGCCGGGACTCGACGCACAAGCTGTGCAAGTGGTCATCAGACCTTGAGCCCACTATAACCGTGCACAAGCTGTCCCTGTCACGTTGAAGTTGTTTGTCACGTCAGATGAAGGAGCTAAGGTTCAACGTTCGAAATTGTGCGACGGTGTTCTGGAAAGACCTGAGTCCCCTGCCATGCAGTTTTCACATGTTGTCGCGTGGTCGAGGGCAGAAAAATCGTTGATGATGCATTGGCGACCCATGCCTCAAACCTGCGAGGAAATAAAATGCATGTTCTATGCCCGGGAACGCCGGGAGTTTCCGAGTGCGAGCGACGAAAGCCTAACTCAGACATCCAATCCCACAATCCCCATTCCTGCAGTAGGCGGGAACAGAGAGCCTTCCTCGACTCACATGGTGGCCAGTTGGGGCCCCTGCCTTTTGAACATTTTGTCAGGGCGCCGTGCAGCAGACGCTCGAGACCGGCGAGTGGCGAGGTTTGGAGCCAGGCTTTCCTCAGAATGTCATAGGCTGTGTTTGCTGTTGTCCGTTTGAGTCTCCAAAATTGCGAGCAGACATGTTTGTCGTGCATTGCTTCAGGCATTGCTGAATGCCGTGGGGTGTTAGGCTCCGGATTTTGATGCCCTGCAAGGAGACATACATAAATTACTCGCCAACTCGGTAAAGAAACCGACCCGCAGGAAAATTACGGTAGAAGCTGCGGCCACCCAAGCATCGAGCAAGGTCGCTACAGGCGGTTGCCTCATGGATGCTCGCAGCTCTTGGAAGGCTTGGATACTAAGCACGCGCTGTGTGGCTCTCCAGGGCTGGAGGTTTGAGCGGATGCCGGGACTTCTGCAAGATGTATCGTGCCAAAAGAGGATATGAAGCTAGAGTCTTCGATGCTGCGCACCCAAGAGTCGGTGCCAGGAATGTGGGATATGACAACCTGACAGCTCTGGTGCTTTGGGACCTTGCAGCGCAGCCCCCAGCAGCGTCCCGACGCCAACCCAACATGCCTTTTGGGTTTAGGGTGTTAGGGTTTAGGGTGAATCGACCTAGTGGGCTCCGCGTACGATGAGGACCAGTATCTGTGCAGACCTTACCTGTGGTAGTTTGCCCGCAAAACAAATCCATGGTCATTGCATCCCTCAGCCATGTTATGGGCCGAAAGCCCCAAACCCTAAACCGTAAACCCTGACTGTGAATTCGCTTTGTCCTGTTGCCCTGGGCAGGGGTTTCGTGTATGGGTGCTGTGAGAGGCCAGGGCATGGGGAGGCGTAGAGCTCGCCCCAAACTCGGGCCGCCTGTACTCCTGAAATGCTCCAATAGGGGGGGGGGGGTCTCCGACGCCCAAAGATTGAATATGCATGCGAAAGGTGTGACAATAAAAGTCTATAAGTTATCCAAGTTTTCTTGGGCGAGCAATACGGCTATCGCAATACCATGGAGCATCCAAACGGCAGTCTTAAATCTCAAGCTTCGAAACCTCAAGTGCCGAGCCAGCAATCTGGCTCAAGCTGTTGTTGGTGTTGCATATTTCCAAACAAGTGGTGCGACTTAGCAAAATCTTCCTGGCGTGCCCCTTTGGCAAATTCAGAACCAATGCAGACTACTCAGCACCACTCGCATCTGTCTGCGGCAGACGTCGAGGAACTACTTCAAGCGTCTGCATCCGGAGATGTCGATGTATGTGAGCGTATTATCTCACGACAGCCGAACATGCTGGAGGTTTGCGACAGAAGGGGGCGGACCCCTCTCATTCTTGCCTCGTTGCACGGCCACATCGAGGTGTGCAAAGTTCTGATTGCTGCCGACGCAGATGTGGAGGCGGTTGACAAGGCCGATAAAACCCCGCTGGCCTATGCAGCATCTCGCGGACACCGTGAAATCGCCAAATTGCTGCTTGACCATGGGGCCGAGATTGAGGCCACGGACTGCATTGTGAGGGATATGGGGTGCGCCATACTGTAAAAGTATTTTCCGGCCACCAGATGACTTGCTGGCGGCGATCTGATTCACGGTTTCACCTTGCATTCGGTGCTTACGATCTCGGGAACAAAAGCATCCTTATCAGATGTGGCGGATTCAAGATTCAACGGAAATCTGCAGTCAAGATGGTCCTCCTTCGAGGTAGTTGTGGAATTCCGCTAGTTTTGGGGTTCGCGATTAGGGTGGTACAACCGCGCCGCCTCAGTACTAAATCCCGAAGCCTTGTAAACCTTCACCAATTTCGTGAAGCTGTGACAATCCAAACGCTGGAAGCTCAGGGCTGTGACCCGCTTTGAGCCTGAGCCTCGGCTGAGTACAGAAATGGCGGTGTACCAGTCCAGGAATTCGCATCAATACGCATTGATGTCTCAGGTGATTCTGAACATTACTATTGCAATCACACTCCGTCTCGGTCTTCGTGTTCAAAACTCCGAGCTGTTAATGATGATGTTCATGTGATTGGCTCTGCTCCGTTGAGTGATCGACGGATTGATTGACGGCGCGCTCGCGACGACGATCCGATGATCTAGTCTAATGCGCTGTTTGTGATGGTTGTGATTAAGGAGACGAAGGAGACAGTGCTGCTGGCACTATTTAAGTTGCCAGCGTGTTCATCTTGCGCCGCTGTTGTTGCCAGTCCCAGCAGCGACTTGCAGTATCTGTAGCAGCAGTAGTAGCAGTACTGCTGATAATATAAATCCCGCATTACCTTAAGGACCCCAAACTATGAGAATTATGGTATATTCCTTACTATGGGTAATGCAGGATCTATATCATCAACCGTAGTATAGCACCCCTGCTGAGGCCTTGGTGCTGGCGCGGGGCGCCCTATCCTTGCCTCACCGCAGCGGTCGGGCAAAGGCTCTGGATGCTCCAGAGGCAACTGGTGGACTATGCCAGGCTTTTGTAAACAATCAAAATTGTAGAGATACAGAGAGAGGGAGGCTTGGATGTTTACCGGGATAAGTTGCGTTTTAAGTCTCCGTTGTGGGTCAAGAGTAAAAGATAGGTTCCGCGGCAAACTTGGGCAACCAGAAAAGAGAAAAGTTGCGTGGTCTCGGGAGTAGTAGAATCGCACAAGGACCGAGATATGCACTTCCTTGAAGGGTGTGGGTTTTAGGGTAAGGGCTCAATGGGTGAGGCATCAACTGTTCGATGATTTTTGGGATCCGCGTCATCCGTTTTGTAGGCATTACGATGGATCTACTGAGCTGATTTGAGGGTTTGCACTTTAAAGGGTGAACGGCGCTTGGTTGTTGTAGGTTTTGTAGTTTCAGTCGTGTGGTCTGATGCTGCAGGCAATTTTGAAAAAAAACACGAGCGTGCGACCCTCAAGACCGCAGAACCTGAACCCGGCATCCACACTGGAGGTTTTTCTGCTGTATGTAGCGCCTCACAAAAAAGCCCGTCGAAAGAAGCCCCAACCTTTCCAAGCTTGAGCATTCCGGAGGAGATTGAGCTCCTCCATCAGACAGTCACACTTGCCGTGCTAGGCATCTGCTGGGATGTTAACCGACGCCAGTTTCCCTAGAGTAATGCCTGTTTTGGATGGTCTGTAATGTGTAGAAACTATACTTATACTCAGATTAGATACACTGATTATACCATATTAGATCACTGTGTATTGTAACAACGGCATATTACAAACGCTGTATAGAATTACATTGTTATATTATATATCGTTAGTACTGTAATACTTCTCATCATGTTATGTTACATTACATTAGGTTGGACTAGGTTGCGCGACACTACGATAGAACAGTATGTTACACCGCGGTACTTTTTTATAGATATTTACTGTGGTAGGACGAAAGTTCGTCGCAGTACCTCTGGCCGCAGCTGTTGGCAGTTATAAGATTGGATAGTTGCCTTTCGTCTTCAGCTCATGAGGGGTCTGAACAAATAAATAGAGATTTCTTAAATTCAAGCAGGAACAAAGTTTCGTCGCACTTGCTTTGGAAGACCTTGCCAACCCCTTAAAGCCTTAATCCCCCAGCCAGTCCTGCATCCGGAACACTATAGCAGTACAATTTTATTCCGGTGGCTAGATTAATGCCTCTGCTAGCCAGGCCACGTAAAATGCACTTGTCGGTACTCCGCGTCCACGGCGTAAGGGTACAAGCAAGTGCGACAAAACTTTGTTCCTGCTTGATTTTAAGAAATCTCTATTTGTTCAGACCCCTCATGAGCTGAAGACGAAAGGCAACTATCCAATCTTATAACTGCCAACAGCTGCGGCCAGAGGTACCCGTTCCATGGCTTAGCTGCAAATCACGGACATGATTGAATCCTCATCAGCGGGAAAAAAAAGTCTCGACATACGCTCTCAATATCATGAAAATATACCGCGGAGAGGCGGAGAGGCCGCAGGTCTGTTTTACATAGCCACCGTGGTGGAGTACCCCTAGTTTACTTCCCGGATTTTAGACTCCAAACGCGGAGAGCGTTTGGGATGCTGTGCGAGGAGTCGAAGGGGGGCAGGGGGGTTGCAGTGCCTCATATGTTGAGTTACAAGCCATGTGGTGAACTGCTATCCTGCGGTAACGGGCAGTCCGGGGCTAGCATTCCAGCCTGGTGCAGGTGAAGTGAGATCACGTAACATAAACGCTCTAGCAATGCCGCCTTTTTGAGGTTGCACTGCCTCACGAGCTGCACTTCGCTGGACTAGCAACGGCAAAATTCATGCTGGATACCTCATTGTTCCATCCTAAGTCTGTCAATTTCTGTTCTGTTTATTCCATATTGTTATATTCCGCTAGGTTCTCGTATATTATCCCATAGAATGCTAGATTAACATGTTATATCAAAATGTTTTTATTTACTGCATTTCATTATAACGATGTGTATATTATTGGTCCTATAACAATGATCATCCCGATTGCGAGGAACCTGGTCCACAGGTGCTCACGCATGAACACTGAGACTCGGTACGTGGAATGCCTGCATCGGGCACGTAGGTTTCAATTCGAAACGATGCCAGCTCAACATCAACAGCAAGCCGCCCAGTTCATATACTCATTGCCATCTGTCTCTACACTAGCAGAGTCGACCAGTAAGTCACTTGACTTGTGACCTTGGCATATGAGCATCTGCATGTGAGATCACCCTCGGGATGCTTTCTGCCGAAGCCCAACCCTGATTTCAGTTTGTGGTGTTCGGGGCTTTTGATCTTAGTCCCCAAGGTGGTTGCAAGCGGCCCTGCATGACGTGCCAGCATTTCATAGCGATGGGCATTCTATTGCTGGGCAGCGGGTGAGCTAGTTCTTGCAAGGTCACGTGAGCAGATTTGTCCGGCGTACGTGATCGTTACAGCTCGAAGCAGTTTGGAGTCCGAGGTCTCTAGGAAGGCATGAGACGCCCATTGCCAGGCTTGCACACGGCCACCGTTGCCTTCGCCAGGGAGGAGTTGGAGGAGGCACAGCTTGCCTTGACCCAGCAGAACTCTGAACCATGAACACTGACCGTCACTGACCAAGGGCATGTCCAGCCGGAAACCTACTGTACGAACTTGGGTTCAAGTTTCACCGAACCGTTCTTCATTCTGCAGCCGACGTGTGCAAAGAATGGCCCGTGCTTGCTTGGCAGTTGTGATCGCATCCAGTGGCCTGGCTCTTGGGCTGGGCGAGACCTGTGTGGAGGAGCACAGCCTGATGCAGCAGAAGTTGAAGGAAGCGGAAGCTCCCAAAGCTCCCATCTCCTTCTTGCAAACCTGGCAGCTCACTAACGGCCATTCCGCATCCCACAGTTCCCACAGCCCGGAGAGCCTTGGGCAGCTCACGGAAGGACTCAAGAAGATGGCGAAGAGCCGGAAGGAAGGCTCAAAGATGGATGAGTCCTCCTCAGGTGCCTTGGACGGGATCCAAAGGCAGATGGCCAGGATCAAGAATGACACCCTGGATGACCACAACACAGCCATCCAGCAGCTCAACACCCTCTACGAAGCCATAATCAGCTGCAAGGCCCCCTCGTCTTCAAAGCCACAGAGTGCCAAGGACAAGCTCGTAGCCCAGCACGACACCTGCAGAGTCGAGGAGGCCGCGGCCCGTGGAATGCGAGAAGTTGCGCGGGTGGAGTATGAGGCTCTCACATCGCCCCCGCAGCCCTGCTTCGCGCAGTTCAACGACGGGAGTCTGGGGACCTTGCAACATCACGACGTGATGATGGACTGCGCAGAGAAAATTCGATCTTGGGCCAACACTCTCCGGCAATCGGGTCCCAAGAAGAAGTCGAACTACGAAAAAGCCGATGTGAGGTACCTACAGAAACAGGTCAAGTGCAACAGCCTTCAGCGTCAGTTCGAGAGCAGCTTCTGCGCGTTGCAGACGAGCGTCGGGGACGGGTGTGAAAGTCTGCAGAACTGCTTCTCTGCGACCCTCAGCAGCTGGGAGAGCTTCAAGCCCGACTTCCAGACCATGGGGGCCTCGCGCAAGGCGACTTTTGTGGCGGCCGAGAAAGTGATTTGTTTGGCTACGGCCATGATGCAGACGCAGGTGCTGGACGATGACATCGCGCAATGCGACAACCTGAATGTGGACACATCCTCCTTGGACATGCCCCCCTTCCGCAATGCACCGGTGCAGCCCGGATGTGATTTCTCCTCGGTGACTCCGGCGCCCTGCGACAGCGGCTTCGTAACTCAGTACTACACCTCTCAGGATTGGCATGCAGAAGCCCCTGCGGAAACCTGCACTCCTTGCGCAAGTGGCAGGTTCTCCAATTCAACTTAGTTGGCTGAAGATACTCTTCGGCTTCACAGCAAGTTATTTAACAAAGGCTGTTTAGGGTGGGCTGAGTGCTAACTGGCACCGACTTCTTTAGGAAGGCCCATTCTGCTTGCAAAGCCTTGCTCTAGAAGAAAGGCTACTTCCAAGAAGCTCTTTGAACAGGAGAGTTTCCTAGCGCATAGCCCTCTAAACTCTAAAGCCTAAACCCCAACCTCCATCTAGAGCAAGGCTAACATCGAGGGTTCTTCTTCCTAGTGCTCAAAGCGCTGAGGCTTTTCCTCCCTCGGATGGAGACATGTCTGAAATGGACAGAAAAACAAGCGATAGCACCGAGGGTGTGAGTGGAAATCCAAAAGCCCCAAAGCCCGAGACGTGCAACCCGAAACGGAGTGAGAGAGCAAAGAGAAGGGAGCCGGTGGCGACGAGATATCCATTGCGACCCGCAGCGCCCAGCTTGCCAAGCATCGGTGGGGGGCTCGAATTTGCGGGCGGGGCTGTAAAGTTTATGCGAGGTTTTGGGTTTTTAACTCACTGTAGATCTGGGCTTGGTCTTGGACCGTTTAGGTAGAGTGATGAGGCGTTCCGAGTGTGGGAGTTTGAGATTTCCGAAGACTTGAAAAAAGGTGTGCTAACACACAACTGAAACGATTTCCGCGAGAGCAATCTCTCCCTCTCCCCCTCGCCCTCTCTCTCCCTCTCTTTCTCCCTCCTTCCCGAGCGCACACGCACGCGCACACTTGCAAGTTGATGGGCCAAAGACTCCCCCGCCTGCTGCAATGCTACTGCTAACTGCCATGTTCCTGTTTGTGAAATGTGCAACAGCTACATGTGGTCAAGCAATGAGGGATGCTGCCGGGCCAGCTTCCCTGGTTGCATTGTGTGGCACTGGAGTTCAAAGTGCCGCCGCAGTCCACGTAAATTTTGTGACTTTGTGATGTACACAGCAAAATGCTTCAAGTGCGAGTGGCCCCGTTTGCCCATGAACGAGGACAGCATGTGCGCAGAAACAGACAGACAGACACACACACACACCCACACCCACACACCCACACACACACAGACAGACAGACCGGCGCGTTCGTGCACGCAGGTTCGAATCCCCTCGAGCCCGAGTCACGCCTTCTCACACACGTTTGGAACAGGGCCGCCTTAGCAGCAGAAGTGGTAAGCTGCCACTTGCTGCCGCCGTTGGCGCGGCCTGGAAAGCACAAGGGCGATTTCAGGAAGCATTGCGTAGAGTTTGAGGCGATGTTCACCCACGTTCATGTGATGTAGGGTTGGGACGGCTAAGTAAGACAAGCTCTATAGTGCATGTGCAATTTTTCAAAGCTCCGCGAGTGTATTTTCTGGTTGTTATCATGCGGAGATGAGGGACTGGTGATAAACAGCCCAGATCATGTGTGCCCATGCATGCGAAGAATAGGAGTAGGCAAGCACTCTGTCCACTCGCTATGTCATTCAATTTGAAGTCGTGCCTGATAATCCACTGGCGATGTGATGCAATTTGAAGCAGAGCCTGATGCAGTTGGCGTGCTGGTCAAGTCCTCTTTCAGTGATGCCAGTTTCTTCCGTTTCATGCAAGTGCAATCGTCATGTGTGCTGGCATCCACCGAGTCCATTGCTTCAAAACTATGCACTCTGCACACCTATATGGAGACAGACGCAAGCTTTAATGCTGGTTGGTGAAATCTGGTTGGGCATTGAAGGATTCTATATTCTATATCATATTGAGGGAATTTGTCAGCACCAGCTTTCTAGTCTACTTTTTTTTTGCAGCATCCCCAGCAAATGGAGAAGCAAGGACAACTTCACCATCTCTGCTGCACCCCTACTGCAACGACGACGATGACGACTGCTACTACCGCCTGCTGCTACTACTACTGCTACGCTTCTGCTGCTACTGCTGCTGTTGCTGCTGCTACTGCTGCTGCTGCTGCTGCTATTGCTGCTGCTGCTGCTGCTACTACTACGACTTCTTCTTCTTCTCCCGCTGCTGCTGCTTCTCGTTCTCCTGCTACTCCCGCTGCCGCTGCCACTGCTGCTGTCTGTCACTGCGACAGTGACGACTACGAATGCGACTACCGTCGCGTCGACGCTACCCCAATGGCCTGCCTGCTCACACTGTGTTTGCAGTGGTTTTGGTTAGTCTGTTGTTCCCTACCGTCATCGGAGAACCCACTGGTCAAACCTTCCGGAGACTCAACTTTGAGTTTGGGATGCACCCAATCTGGAAACCACCTCAGGAGTCGGAAGTGGGAAGCATCTTAAGTCTTAGCCGTCCCATGATGATCAGTGTTGACGATGCTGAGTTGCTGTTTTTCACGCCTGGGTTCTCGCCCGGCTGGTCCAAGAATATGTGATGTGCGTACAAAGGCGAGCTGCCGATCAGTTCGATTTGCAGCCGCAGCTGGCACATTTCCTGGCATCCATTCTTCAGGCCGTTTGGACTTTCGAACTTTCGGGACTCAAACTTCAAGCCTTGCACCTGCCAAGTTGGTTGTGCGGTGGTGAGAAGCAGGCGTATCTTGCAGCGTCTCCATCTTGGGCCGTAGTTCAATGCCTTTAGAGCTGGACCTAAAGATCGAAAACATGACGAAGACGGCAAGCAAAGAAGTCCCGGAGCCTGCTTCGAGCTGTTAGCACGTATCAGAGACCTAACCGTGAGCCAAAACGCCATGCAATCTCCGTAATCCTTGCAGCCCTCTACCACGCCCCTACAAACCCCGAAATCCTGAGACGCTAAAGCCGACGACTTGCTCGGCTCCAGGATAGGAGTGGCTTGGGGCTGGAATGTCGATTTGATCGTTGTAGGTGCTTGAGGGCTGTGAAAATGGTAGAAATTTAGGTGCAGGGTTGTTGTCAGTAGATCCAATTTGGTCTTAAAGCCGATTGAACATTGACGTTTGAGACATGTGTTTTTTTCCAGTAGGTCTGTACGCAACAACAACAACAAGAAACAACGAAGAACCACGGAAAAAACCACACGAGTCGGCGAGGCGGAGCTCATCGAGGAGCGCCCAGCTTGGGCCGAGAGCCCTGGGTTGGGGGCCGAGATCGAGGCCAGCTGCGTGAGTGCTTTTGTTCCTTCCCATAGGCTCCTTTAGGGTATTTTTTGTGGTTTATATTTAGGATACTATAATGGTAATCCCGAAAAGGAACTACAACGGAGACTACAAGTTGGTCCTACTTCCCTCCAACCATGCCTAGAGGATGAAATTTCCTTGCTCCTTCTTGCACAGATTGGAAGTGCAAGCGGATTGTCATCTGCTCTGCAGCCTAGTTTTAGATTGTAAATGGTGTTGACTGTTGCTTCTTCGTGCTTCTGGTGTCCGTAACGATATTGCTTGATTCACCTGTATTTTAAGTGCGTGATCGTTTTCTTTGTTTCGATGTAGCACCTTCAATTCGCTGGTGAGCCCAAGCAGGCCACGATGTTAATTTCATGGTCAGTGGATGAGTCAAAACTGACAGTGGAATGGGAAACCAACCACCAACCCAGTGGCTGTGACTTCCGATCACAACGTGGGTGTCCGTCGCTACCACTGAGACCCGAGAAGGAATTAGGCAATACTGGTTGCTACATGTAGCCTGGCTTGTTTCCACAGTCGCATGGAGGCTGCCTTGGATGCCGCACGTGGTGCGGCCGCCTCACTCGCCGAGGCCTGGGCTTGGGGATCTTCCGGGTTTGCAGGGTTTCGGCTCTCTGTGGCTGGCCTAAGTCACGCTGAAAGCAGAGGGTCCCGAACCCTCGACCCCAGACCCCTAGCACCTGTACACGATATGTGTTCTGTGTTCGAAGAGAAAGTTCAGTCGATTTCTTGCTTTCGGTTTCTGCTTCGAGTGCCACATTCTATAGGAGTTGCAGCCGAGGAGTGCTGTCCTGGTCACGCAGACTTTGTGTAGCGCTGACGGACTAAACCACACAGCCCCTGTTTGGTTCAGTTCGTGAAAACGCACCCGACAACATACAACTCTGAACTTGGACTCGTATGCCGCAATTGCGCCTCCCAGTTCCACCCTGCATTTCGAGGTTCTCGGTGATGTTTGGCCAAGCTTCGTGGGAGCGCAGGCCATCGAGCCTCGACGGATCCAAGTTGGACGTTCCTCAGGGATTTTGCCTCTGGTTTTGAGATATTTGAGGGATATACTCCTCAATTACATCTGGGAGGTGCAGCCTGGACCATCCCTCCGCGGCTTCCTCCACAATGCCGCAGACATCGCTTTCGCATCGGACGTGGCGCTGGCGATGGCCGGAGGTCCCGACAATTTTGCCAAGGGTTTAGGCAAGCTCACGCTCAGGGTTCTTGACTTGCATGATGGCCAGTGTTCTTGTTTCATGCGATCATGTGATTTGGGCACTCGCACAACCACACACACACATCCACCCACCCACCTGGAAAACGCAGCCTAAGACTTGGGCCAACTCACTCCCTCTGCTTAGTTACCGGCCACGCTCTCTCTGGTTCGTTGTTGACGCCTTTGGCCTCAATCGCTGTCGTCGGTTTGCCTGAGTCTCAGCTACGAGATGTGGGTTCCTACATCGGAATGTTGGATGGAGTGGTCGACCCGCTCTGGGCATGTATTAGGCGATTCTGAGCCATGAAGCCGAAGCCGTGTTTCAGGTGAGATATGGGAGTCTGTCCTGCAGCCCCTTGGCATCTCATAGCGGAAGTTGCTTGAAAGCTCAAGTTCCGAGGACAGCTTTGCTTACATGCGGTCGTTTCGCTTGATCTGATTTGGGCAACACACTGGCACGCAAGCTGTTCACCTTCACAATATTGCACCAAGCTTGAAGATAGATGGTGCGGACGGGGAACGGAAGAAGCCAAGTCCGATGTTTTCATTTCAGATCAGCACGGTGCCAGCAACTCGACTCTTCCGAAACCACACAACAGGCTGCTCGATGCATCGATTCAGACCTTGCAGAGCTCCGCTGGTGATGAACAGGCACGTGCTGTAGATTTAACCGTGCCATGGACAGGGTCTTCGGATTGGGTGTTGGGCCGGTGTCGACGAATAGCTGTTGATGCCGCCTAGTTAAAGAATCTACCCGTAGCAGAGCATAGTCGGAAGTGGGAGTGGTCTTCTGCGTGATGGCCCTTGAAATTAAGTCTCGGCCCCTCGGCTGCCCCGCGGGTTTTCCTCAGAGGCATACTTAATTATCCATAATTCAACCGACTGGAGCACCCCGAAGGATCAATGCGCGAGAGATATTTGAAAGGGGCGCGGCTGAAGTGCCACGCGAGAGTCAAGTTGAGACGCCCTGTTATCGTGGCAAGGAGACCACCTTCTGCATCCGGTTCCGAAGTAGTCAGAATCTCTGAAGGGAGCTGTTATGCATATGCCTACATACCTGCAAAGCGTGATCGAGATGGCTCAAGTACCTCGACTCGTGAGCGGAGAATGCAAAGTGAGAGACCAGCCTTGAGAATGTGATAGTTTCGTGTTCACGGCTGAACCTGGCTTGAAGCTGAAAACCATCTCTGGGCCGGGGTGCGGATACACACAGTCTGTTTTGTGTCAACCCCTTGACCTGCGAGATGCCACCTGTTGCAAGATCGCTGCTGAACGCTATTGTGCTCTCGACTGAACCCTGCAATGCGGGCTTGTCCTAGCTAGGTGGGAGGCAGAACAAGCAACAAACCTACCTGCCTCCCTGCCTGCCTGCCTGCCTGCCTGCCTACCTACCTACCTACCTACCTACCTACCTACCTACCTACCTACCTACACATGCATACATACATACATACATACATAGATACACATGCATACATACACGCACATACATACATACATACATACATACATACATACATACAACATGCAGATTGCCGTACACACATGCATACATTTATACTTGCGTATACGTACATACATGAGTGAGTGTGCAAGTATGATATATATATATGTGTGAATGTATGTATTGTCATACATGCATGTGTATACACACGTACCTACCTACATACATACATACATACATACGTACATACATACCTACATACACACATACATAAATACATACAAACAGACAGACACACATACATTCGTACATACAATGTTATTCCTATCTATCTATCTATCTATCTATCTATCTATCTATCTATCTATATATATATAGATAGACAGAGGGATAGATAGATGGATAGATAGAAAACACGCGCACACACAGACACAGACACACACAGAGACATATATATATATATACATACATACATACATATACATATATATATATATATGTGTGTGTGTACGTGTGTACGTGTGTATGTATGTATGTATGTATGTATGTATGTATGTATGTATGTATGTATGTATGTGTGTATGTATGTACTTGCTAACTTATGTCTGTTTTTACAAATCAATCTACACCACGCATCGAAACCCGGGGTTGATGCCAGGCATGAAACGAGAGGCCGCAGCGATTCCACCACGAAAGTCGCACTCCAAACTCTGTCGGTCTCATCCTTTGAGCGAGCTCTGGCGTCGCCAGCTATCTATCGGGTTGAAGGTACATGTTGCTCCCAGAGCCCTGTCAGCAAACAAAGGGCACCAAGGTCTCGAATTTAGAAGGCCTCGGACCCGAAGCCGCCAGAGCAGGCGTCTTGGGCAGCCCTGGTCGCCGCGGCTGCAAATGCATTGATACTCGGTTCGTTGTGGGGTTCCTAGGGCTTGAACATCCTGTAACATGCTTAAACAATATCACCGTGCTGCGGAGTGCTTTGCCAGAAACGCATGGACTCTACGACCCAGAACGATGCAAGCGCTACACCAACGGTCGGCCGCAGGGGCTCGAAAGGTCAGTCAAGAGCTCAAAATTTGCACTGAATGGTTTAGGAGTTCGACAGTTGTTTATCGCATGCCCGAAATCCTAAGCCCACTGGCTCGAAAGTCTGATGTTCGTGGTGTTGGAGTCTGCATGTCTAGATCGCCAAAGATGCCTCGCCTGTGAGCATAGATCTCAGCCATGCGAGAGGGGAAGAAACCCGAACCTCTGGAATGGCCCATAAGTACCCAGAGATTGCAACTTAGAGTTACCTTCAACCTCCAGAACAGTTAGCTGTCATGGCAGCCTTCACTTAGAAATGGGCTTATGTGGTCCTTAGTTAGCTCTATTTGTATCTCTGTGCCTTGCTTGTAACGGAGTCCCTCTGTGTTGAGAGAAGATACTAATACCCCAGAGCCCTACTCGAATTTGTGAAGGTTCCAGCATTGCTTCCAGACCCCAAACCCATGAGGGGGGTGAGAGTTTAGCAGCCTTTCCCCTCATTCGATTGGATCAGGATCCTTCCCGGAGAGTCGGCTGCTGCCAACCTGGAAGCCGCCCTTGGCGGCCTGGGCGCCACCCGCGAGGAGAGGGGCATCGGTAGGTTGCTGTGTTTTTTGATTGCGGTGCTTTAGGGTCTATATGGTTTGGTTTGAGTGTTTAAGATTAAGGCTTATATAGGGGATGGGCTTTGGGCTGCCGCGCTCCTGTCATTTTAGGGCACCCCCAACTTGCTCCATGCCTAAACTTGGTTGTTTGTTTCTCAACTCCAGGCCACTCCAAACCAAACGCCCTCACTATGCTGGAGCAAAACCCAAAGCCTTGTAAGCTTGAGCTTTCTGACGCCAACATCCTGAAGCCACTATCACTGGCTCCCTAAACCCTACAGCACAAGCACAAAATCCTATAAAGTAAAGCCTACATGCCTACGGTACAGCTCCTGTAAAGCCCTGCACACCCGATGTAATGTGCATATGGATTGAATTCCCATTTTCTTTTTTGATTCAAAAGCTATCTAGTTCTAGTTGTTTATTAGTTATTTGTTCATGTATATGTGCTTTGTTCGTTCATTTATGCGATTGTCTTGTTGAATCTGTGTGGTATAGATGAACATAAACCCTAAACCCTAAACCCTAAACCCTCGAAGCCCTAAACCCTACACCCCTAAATTATAGACTAATAGACTTCGGCAGGTAGCCCGGCTGCTGCGCACCTGGCCTCGGCCCATCCGCCTCGACGCGAAGCAGCGCCTCCTGGAGTCGTTGGTGGGGTGGGTTTATGTTGCTGAGGTGTCTATAGTAGGGTTTGGGGCCTTTTTGGGCTTTCTGATGAGGCGTCTAGGGTTTAAGGGCCTTTTTGGGCTTTTGGCGAGGTGTCTAGCGTTTAAGGGCCTTTTTGGGCTTTCTGATTTGTGATGAGGTGTCTAGGGTTTAAGGGCCTTTTTGGGCTGTTTTTGACGAGGCCTCCAGGTTTTAGGGCTTTTTTGGGCTTTTTGATGAAGTGTCTAGGGATTAAAAGGCTTTTTTGGGCTTTTGATGAGGTGTCTAGGGTGTAGGGGCCTTGTTGGGTTTGTTTTGATGAGGCCTCCAGGGTTTTGGGCTTTTTTTGGCTTTTTGGATGAGGTGTCTAGGCATTAGGGTTTTTGTGGGCTTTTTTGATGGATGTGTCTGGGGTTTAGGGCTTTTTTGGGCTTTTTTGATAGATGTGTCTAGGGTCTAGGGTTTTTTTGGGCTTCTTTGATGGATGTGTCTAGGGTCTAGGGCTTTTTGGGTTTTTTCGATGGATGTGTCTAGGGTTTAGGCCCTTTTTGATGAGGTGTCTAGGCCCTACAGTCCAGGCTTTTACTATTTATGTTCATGTTAGTCTTGTGTGCTGCTCAGCGGATATTCATGTTCTGAGCTGCCTTCGAAGGGCTAGGGCGTTAGGGTTTTAGAACACTTGGTCGGAAGATTCGCGGTGCTCTGACCGGATTTGGGGTTGTTCATGCTTTAGGAGTGTTTTGAGGATTCGGGGTTCTACATAACTAACTAGAGTCCTCGCATGTCTTCGCTGTGTTTTTTTAGGGGTTTCAAGAGGTTTGGGTTTAAGGCGTTGGAGCTCGAGGGTTAGAGTTTAGGTTGCGGCTCCAAAGCTTGATTTAGGAGCTTGGGTTCCAGGCTCCGGGTGGGTCTGGAGGGTCTGAACTCATCTGAACTCAAGGATGGATGCAATTCTTGGAGCCCTGTGCGCCACCGGTCCCGCCTCTGCCACCAGCGCCGGCGCGCGCCGCTGCAGGCTCAATTTTATCTGGGGTGGATGGTTTGGAGTTTGCGCTTATTTTGCCTTGAGGGTTCGGCTTGCGCTCTTCATTGTCAGGAGTACAAAGCCCGGTTCGGCGAGGGAGGTGCAATCCTTCTTCACTTAAGCAGGTGGGTTAAGTCGCGGCTGAATTATGCCAGCTACACCTGTTGCTTCATGCCGCTGGCCCTTGTCTGGCATCTCGCCTACGGAAAATGGGGTGTCTGTAGGCATCAACCAGAAGCATGTTTTCTCTTCGGTGATCGTGGATGCTTCCGTGCAGCCTTTCAAACTGTCTTCAGTTCAGAAGTTGAGCGCTTTCGATCCTCAGAAGCTGCAGGATCAGGTCGGACTTTTCTTGATGTTTTCTGCTAGCCGGGAGAACCTGCAGAGCCCTTAACGTGACTCGGTGAGTGTGCCTTGCTGTTTTGGCCAGCCAGTGTCTCTCATGCAAGGCCATTTTTGGGATATGATCTTGGAGCCTCTGTACCGAACGTTTCGACGAGGCTCGTCTGCTTCTGCACTGCAGAGTGGAGGCTTGCGCCAGGCCGGAGATGAAAAGAGGGAGCGATAAATTTGTCGAGTTTGATGGAGAGGGCGAGGGAGAGAGACAGGGAGAAAGAGTTTAGAGGACGTCGGGTTGGGGTTTTGATGCTGACGGTCCCAGAGTAGTGCCTCAAAGCATCTACACATTGACACCTTGGACGTCGGACGGAAGTTGAATCAGCTGAAGGCCTTCCTTAGAGTTTCCGCATGTCCCTCTGCGCCTGTGCCACTTGTTGTTGTTTCCATGTGCGGTGGGAAATTAAAAATCCTCAGACCGGAGGCCCCCCAAGGGGACAGCACTGCAGTTTTGCAACTCGCTTCTAGCCTTGTGGCGGCATGTAATTAGAAGGTTATAGTCAAGCCCTAATTCCGAGCAATTTCGACGCATGCCTCGGCTCCAGATGCTGCAAGACGCTCCGCGTGAGTTGCGCTGTGCGCTGGCCCTTGGGCCGACACAGACTCACGCTCTGTTGATGTTTTCGCTGACAAAGGACGTACATTTCGTCCGGAGGCTTGTTTGCGTTCTTGAGCTCCGAGAGCTGTCTTGGAGACATAATTACAAGATATCTCCGACAGCCTTCAGTTCGAAGGACCTCGCAAGTTTGAAAGCTGGACGCAGATATTCCCCTTCCTGAGGATGGGAGGCTGATGATGGATCCGGTGAGGGCCCCGATCGGCTTCTTGCAACCTGGCAGGAAATGGAGTTTAGGGTGGACTTGTAGGGGCTGGTAGGATGTACGGCGGATGTAGCTCGTAGCCTGTGTGGATCATGAAGCCTTAAGCGAGGATGTATAAGAGCAAAAGTCATAAACTGACCGCAACGATAATATCTCGTCAATCAGCATTAGAAGTAAGATCAGGGGTGCCTCGTGCTTCGGTGGCTGCAGATATCTGCAGATGCTTTGTGAAGTTCTTTGCGAGGTGGCGTACAAAGACTTGCCAATTGCATCAGTGTCCGAAACTGACAAGTTCATACATGGGGCACAGCGCCTGCATCTGTGCTGTTCGTGGCTGTTTGGACAGAATGCTTAGTTAGCCTACTTCGCTTGTCGCCATCCAGTGCCGGTACAGTGCAATAACATGCACTGTCCGAGGAGCTCCCTTAACCGGACGTTCCTGCTACAACCGTTCATTTGAGAGCGCGTGTCTGCCATGTGTGTATCTGACTGGCATTTATGCGGAGTAGGAGTGTGGTATCAGATCGGCGGTTTCGGGGCTTCCTGACATGCCTTGTGACTCAGCTCCAGCTTCAAAATGCACGCCGAGACTCGGAGCTAGCCAAGGTACGAGCGAAGTGTACTTGCCGAGCACCTGGCCCGAAGCGGTGGCTTGTGCCCACTGACAGGGAAAGCCGCCCGGATGGCGAAAGATAATGCGGGTTTACGACAAGCGAGCCGGCTTAGGCTTAGGAGCTGCCAGGTTTGAGGATGTGAGCTCGTAGGATTGGAGAACGTGTGCAGTTGGTATGTAGCTTTGGGTTTGGGTCATGCGGTCCGTTGACTCGATGTAGAAGGCATTCCAAGCTTCTTGCTTATTCAAAATGCTTCAGTTTATAGACAAGCAGAATTAGCCAGCTTGCAAACCGCTTCGAAGTGCAGATCATTGCCTCGGCCCAAGGCGCTTACCCTGGAGAGTTGCCCTCGCGACGCAGAGACGCGACGCAAGGCTGACAGGGGTTTTGCTGAAGCACGGCGACTCTCGTACCACGTTCAACAAAGCTATCGACACAAGGCATTGTCTTAGTCCTAGACGATGAGTTCTTGCGAAGGCAGATTGGTGTTGGAGATCACTCCGAACTATTTCTTCTGCATCCGGACTGACTCTTTGTCAACCTGCGACCCATGTACACGTTTCTACTCCTCCCAAACAAACATGGAAGTCACATGTGCCTGGTACTCCAGCAAACCCATCCCCCCGAAACCAGCGCCACGAACGGCATCCACGTACGCAGGTGCAGCGATGGATTCGTGAGCCCCGCGGCTGGCATACCCAATCATCCTGTGGTTCGTAGAATAGTATGTCGTTTTGAATCGGGCTTCCCCTCCCCTCGACCTTTTCGTTTTATCTTGTGTGGATGGAAGCTGACGATGCTGGCGACCCGGAAATAGACCCTCATGCTTTTGCACATGTTGGTGTGCGCAGAAATACTCAGAAACCTATCAACAAAGATGTGGCGGAGGGCCCAGCTGTAGGGCCACACGGTGCCCTGGTTCTCTTTGGTCTAGAGTCTAGAATCTAATTAGAAGTGATTTTTTTAGGGTGCTTGTAAATCAAGTCCGGGATAGGATCTGTACTTGCTAGGGTGGGTAGTGAAGTACATCAGTATAAATAAATACATAAATAAATAAATATATATATATATATATATATTTGTTTATTTATTTATAATATATATATATGTATATATAGATATAGATATATAGATATATAGATATATAGATATATAATATATAGATATAGACTTCGGACTGTGCCACGGGGGAGCCAAAATAGATAGATAGATAGATAGATAGACTGCCTGATTTCCCTTGTAAGTAGTCAACCGAATCCCCCGGGAACGGACAGCAGATCGTTCGGCCATGCAAGGCTTTAAGGGTTATAGCCGGGCTTAAGGATGTGAGAGTAAATTGATGCTTGTCGGGTCAAAGACTCACAGCTGACAGGCGGTAAACCCGATCAGGTCCAGATCCTGTTTCCTTCGGGCTTGTGTCAGGCACAAGGCTTCCACGGCGCCCTCACGGCGTCGTGTCAAGTTGTCGAAGCCAGCGGCGCAGGACTCTTGGGCCGCAGGACCAGGAGCGTGGTAGTTGCTTTATCGTTCAGCGGCTAAGGTGTGTTTAAGCTGTTTTTGTTGCTGCTTGGATTGGGGTTGTTCTTTTTAGCTTATCTGCATGGGATTCGGGGACAGGAGCGAGGATCGAGGGGTTTTGGAGGTGGCTACCTGACCTGCTGCATAGAACATGGTGAAAATGATGTACGATGTTGCCCAACAACATCAACACATAGTACACTCTCTCGAGCATGTTCAGACTGGGCATCCCGGCTTGCCCCAGGTAAAGTTCCTTTCGGGTGTTGAGCCATGGCTACAGGTTCACCGTCTGTTTCCGATGTTACTGCTAAAATATCAAAATGTACCAAGGTACGTCTTGTTTGCTGCATACCCGTCTAGCAACTTACATACCAAACATGCTTTCCCCGTCGCAAGATGCGGCCACGTTTAGGAAGACACAGCGCCCAACTACAGCACCTTCTTCGGCGAGTAGGAAGGGCTTGACCACTGGCAGGCTCGGACATTGCAAGCTTCTTTCTAATATCAACATAACACATAACGAGACTGACACCCGAGTCCTAATTGATATCGAGAAATCACACTCAGACACCCTCGATAGCTTGAACTTGATCGTGAAGCTTGTCGGCTGTGTAGTGCAGTCTTTGCAGAGATTTTGTACCTCAAGCACTTTTTTTTGGTCGACAGCTCGAGGGGTGAAAAGCCGAGCAAGGTCCGTGATACGAGCATTGAGGATTTTCGGGTTCGTCCAGGCTGGTCCACTGTGTGGGGCCATTCTCTGGCCTGAGGTGGAAGGCTGACTTGATCAGGGGTTAATTTCTAAATTAATCGAAGAAAGTAAGCATTTTCGTTGTTGTGCATCATTCTTCCGAGCTTTATTGCTGAAGCTTTCTGATTTTATGCGTTACAGGTATAGGATAGCAGACTAGCCTGACTGCTATGTCTTCGTACGAACTGTTTTGCTGAAACTGTCCAGTCTGATGCGTACTACGGGTTGAGAATTTTTGTTCGCAACCATATACTTATCTGGCTGTTTTCAGTCACGGCCGCAGGGGACCGTCGACGCCCCACGTCTTTTCATCGAGTCTCACCGACCGCGGCACAAAGCTTTGCCCTTGGTCCATGGTTTCACGTTCTGCGGGCGAATCACGGGAGAAAGGCTGCCGAGGAGCTGTGGCTTAGGATATTATTAATATGCGGCACAGCCTCAGGATTAATCCTTCCCCGAGCATCCCGAGCGCTGTCTGGAGCAGCTGTAGCACTGTAGCATCTCCCCACTGTGCACCTCGCCGACATCAAGAAAATTGAGCCAACTGTAGACATAACATGTGCGGTTATACAGAAGTGACTCCACGAAATTCGCAGCACCGGACAGCCTGAGCAGCACTTCCGTCACCATTCAAGACAGTCAACTGCACGGCTACTTGCTTAAGGAGGCTAGGTTGCATCACCGGCTCAGAGAAAAGAACTCTACTGATTTTCATATGACTCTGCAAGAAGAGCCGGAAGAGCACTTCGGCGGAGCTGGAGAGGCCCGACCGTTCAACGCAAGAAGTCCTTGCCCGCGATGAGCCGAAGATAGCGCTGCTCGCGCGATGGCCGCCGACCCTGGCAATTCTTTCTACGACGAAATTTGGGACACAAGACAGGACCCTGAAAGAATCCTTGAAGCCGAAATAGCCCCCGAAAAACCTGAGAGTGACCTGAACATGTTGCTGCCCTCCTTTAGCCGCAGGCTTCAACAAATCTCAAGAAACCAGGTTAATGGCCGTTAAAATGTGGAAGGGGCCTAGTCTGTTTCTACGTACGTTTTAAATGTGGAAAGGGCCCTAGTTTGTTATCTACTTATAACCTTGCAAGCACATTTTGGCAGTGCTACCGATTACCTTACATGACAATTGCCAACTTCGTCGTCCTCTTACAGGACTCTTACGTCCTTGTAGTACACCCTCACTCCCCGGGATGTCTTACGGTGCGTCAGGAGGAAGCGAACGAAGTCGTCGAAGGCTTGTGGTTGCGCACGAGCTGTCGCCAAATTAAAGCACAGCTATGACAGATAAAGATTTGGTGCCGACGAAGCCGTAGAAAGTCAATCTGAGAAGTAGGGGTGGGGTAGCGAGATGTGCAACTCGGTGGAGGGCGCTAGGGCCAGCGGTCTCCAGGCATGTTAGCACCGCGTCATGTTGCAATTGCGCCAAGTCTCGGGTGTTTTCCCCCTGCAAGGTGTTTATCTGGGCTCTGTGCTAGCCTCGAAAGATGCGAAGGCTCTCGAGAGGTGGAGCATCACGCAGCCTGCCTGCATCGAGTGGTCGGGTCTACCTCTGTGGGACTGCCCAAGAGGTTACATTTTCATGCGAGATATGTCTCTCCTCACAGTACGACAAGACTAGCATGAGCATGTGTCCGAGCAATGTAGCAAAGAGCACAAAGTCCGGGGAACTCGGCTGTGAGCTAGGTGCACCCAGGCCGCAGGGTGACTCGACTGGATACGAAGAAGACTAGAAAAGACGACACCTGGCCTCAAGGATGCTGGAAAACTCCACCCAGCCGAAAGTTGCTATAGTCGAAGCAAAGTTCCAGAATTCCTGAACATGAGAGCGTGGTCAGAGGGTGCGCAACTTTGGCCGAATCAGCCTGTGTTGCTTGCAAGAATTTCGCGCGTCCTGTCGAGGCGTTGGGCTCAAGAAGTATGCCTGTACATGAATGTAGCCACCAAGCGCCCGAGTGCATCATCGTGGGAGCAAGTGCATATGTTACATACAAGTCGCGCTTTTGAGGTTTGGCTTCCTGTCTGTACGGGGCCCTCCGCTTGAGCCCAAAACATTTCTTCCGTCACGAAGCCAAACGTGAATCTTTCTGTAGCCCGAAGTCTGGATTCCTCGAATCTGAAGATGGCGTTATTGAAAAGTGAGACAGCCTCAAAAGCCCAGAACCTTTAGCCAATGTCCGAGCTTCTGGATGCGCTGGATGACGCGGGTGTCCTGGACAGGGATACAAGGCTCGAGTTGTTCTCCCACGAAGCATAGAAGGCCAGTCGTTGTTTCCAAAAGAGCGTCTGGCAACAAGAAGGATCCTGGAAGAGGGACCCCAATCTAGAATTTAGAGAGACGTTTGACAGCATACTAGTATGGGTGCTACAAGCATGATGCCGCGTGAGGGTTGGGAGCTGGACAAGCTCTCTTCAGCCTTTCAGCTCTCCGGCACGGCATGCCCTTCTTTGTATAGCTTTCTAGACTTCAGCTATGTAAACCTTTGTAAGTAAGTATGTATATACACCGGGTTACATATGTGGCCATGCATGAGTACACCTGGAACTACACACGTGCTTTGTGTGGCTCTCTGCTTGTGCGATCATGTGTTGCTGTCCTTCATCGGAATATAGCTTTACATCTTCGGTTTCCCTTCAAGTTTACACCATGGTCCGTGATGTGTCTCCATAGGTGAATTGTTGGATGTAGCTATGCTTAATGGTAGTGGCTAGCTAGCTGATGAACTGTATGCATCCATCACTATCGTGCGCATATGACGTGGCTTGTCCTGTGCGGATTGGTGCCAGAAACACCAAGAGTTGTGCATCATGAGAGTTGCGACAATCAAGAGCCTCTGTACGCTTGCAGGCTCTTTCTCGTTGAGGCCTTGTGCAATTCAGAGGCCGGAGCGGTTGTCGTTGGGATGAGAGGAAGTCTAAAGTGACGGAGTCAGGAACACCAAGCGAAGGTGCTGTAGCAGGGGAGTGTTTGGACTGTTGTGGCTGTTTTCCCGTTCCCCGGCCCCGCCGCCGAAGCCTTGCTAAGCTGTCTAGTAATGAGCCCCGGGCCTTGAAGCCGAAACTTCGACCAAGTTGTGGAGGCAGAGGACTTCGCGGACATATTGGAGCCCTTTGCACCAGGCCGCGGTCGAGCGGTGGCTTTCGGAGTTCTTTACGTGAAGCTGACATGACAGGGCAGAGCTTGTAGAACTCGCCAGGCCCTTCGTTTGTCCTGGGTCCCGGGTCCTGGCGCCAGGCTTCGTGGAGCCATGCTTGACGGCTCTGAAAGTGCAACACGGCATGGCTTAGTCTCAAGGGTTTTGTGGTTTGGGCCTTGGCAGTCCAGCTTGCAAGCCGAAGTTCATGCCGGAGACACTTCAAGCACGAAGGATGTCAATCAATTTTTTCAGCGAGGCAAGACGCGTGCTTCTGTTGACTGCTAGTAGAAATTTGCAGCGAACGTTAGGCGACCATTGATCACGCATCGGCGGGTCGATGTCGATCTTCCATATCTCCCATGGAGCCAGCTGTACATGGGATGCTCTCCCAAGTCTGCTATTGCAGGATGAGGTAGTGCGCCGACCGCAAGATCCCTGAAATCTTCCTTGTCATACGCTGGTCCTACACACGAAAGATCCCCCCAGAGCCTGAATGCTCCGGCCCCTGGCAATCTCTTTCACATGCATTGCTGCAAGGCCCGGAGTGTTGTCAAGGAGTTGGAAGGCGTTGCAGAAGGAACACCTGGTTGCAGGGCTGCGAGGGTGATCGCCTTCGTCTATGTTGCACTTGATGACATGTTGTAAAATCGGGTTGGGCTGTGGGTCCTGCATGCGAGACTGAGAGTTGGTTGGGTCAGTGCGTGAGACGTAGCTCCATATTATAAGGTCTTCAGGCATTTCGTTTTTACTATTTATGCCCCGAACTCCACCAGCTGAATCAGAAGCCCTAAGACCAAAGTAGAGGTGTTCTTTCTCTGTTCAGCTCTGAGTTTGAAGGCCATAGGTTAAGGGCTGATGCTTTTTGTGTTTCCCCCTCTCGAAAGCGGCACTTCTGGCACACGGTTTTGGCGCGGCTTTTTCCATGGCCCAAAGCCAAAACCTTGGTCATGGCATGTCCAGGGCAGACGGCATGGGTGCATCCAGTGGGAAGCTGATTCCTTTCGTGTCGTTTCTTCATCTCGCGAACCAAGAAGGCATGCCACCTGTGCCTGTGACTGGTGGCCGTTTGACCAAGACGAGCTGATAACATGTAATCGAAGAGGGATGTGACACGTGGAAGCTGTGACTCTTGTGTGTATTTGCAGGAGGAGCGGATCGAAGAGGAGAAGATGTCGCCACTGGCCGTTGTATTCTTGCAGGTGCCTCTCTTGGGTGTATAAGTTCCTAGACCACGAAGCACGCTCGCCCGGTCTTCCTCAAGTTTGCCTAGAAGTCAGCCTGCTAGAGGGTGTGCGCAGTAAGATCTTGAAGACCAGCCTGGTTTAACTTCCGTCTGCGCAAGCCGGATCTGCACGTTCCCAGAGCAGAGCGGCACTGCTACAGGTGCTCGGGCAGGGCGTCCTGGAGGCTGCCAAGCTCTGATCCGGAGCTCAAAATCCCTCAACCCATTTCAGCTGGACCTCATTCACTTGATTCACGGTTTGTGCTTCGGAATGCTCGGCACGAGAACTCAACCTCCCCCGAAGTGGTTTCGCAGGAGGACCTTGGGCCACTCCTAGACCCGACATGCCCTAAGCCAAGGGAAAGCGCGGAACACGACAACGATAATGAATGCTAGTCCAGGCTCGGGTAAAATTCGAGGACGCGCCCCCCCATCATAAGAACGACACTTCTTATTCATACAATGTTGAGACCAAAACCCGTTGAGACCAGTCGAAGGCGTCTGGCCTCCACACCGTGTCTCGCTGCGCGCGGCTTTGCCGCACCGCGCGGGATGCAGCAGCGCAGGCCTGGCAGTGGGGGTTTCCATGATTTTCAGCCTTCATGATGCATATTCGTATTCTGCGTTACCCATTTCAGATTGGATAGTACAGTACAGCAGTACATCTTCTGTTTCAAATTGTAGATTATGTAACTATGTACGCACTTTCTCTGCGCAGTGTATACTTAATACTATTGTAGGTTAGCCGCTTCCCTCGGTTATTGAATATCACCCTATAGTATTGGACATGATTTTCGGGGAGCATATGGCTCGGAGCTTAAAAGGGGGCAAGGCTACAATACAATTCTGTCCGTGTGGATGCCTGACAAAACAGATCGCAGGGACCAGCAGTGGTTCTCCAAAACAAAACCCTGCCTGTCTGGTCTTTATACTAACCCGATTGTTTGGTTAATCAAACCGACGTGTGAGAACATCCTCAGGTTCTAATCGGTTGCGGTGGCATCAGGCTCAGGCCTGCGTTGAACCAAAAAGGCTGCACACAAGGCGTCGATCATAGCTGTGAGCAAAGCCTGAAAGCCAGCACCCTCGGCATGAAAATTATTTTTCACGGAAAATAACAGTTGATTGTTATCGGGATTGACTGTTGTAAGTCGGGCAGCGATGAAGGCCTGAAGCAGACAATGATGAGGGCTTTGCCTGGGATTTGGAGGTCTTATGAGCGTGCGCAGGATGCAATGTACACACTGACAGCAAGAGGGAGAGAGAGAGAGAGAGTGAACAAAATAAAATAAATTAAAATAAAAATACAAATAAAATATCCGAAACTCGAACACACCTTTCACTCCCCTCGAAAGCCTCACAATATGTGGGGGGCCAATAGGCCGGGGGGCCTGACCCGTCCCCTATGCCCTGGGGAAGAAGAAGAGAGAGAGAGAGAGAGAGTGCTGTGTCTTTGTTTTCAACCTTCGGAGAAGTAGTTCTGCCTGGTTTAGCAGCCAGCCCTTGCCTCAGCCGCCATGTGCATGGGCGAACTTTGACTTCGTGCCTTGCCTCTGTGATCTGTGTTTAGGGGGATTTGATTGAGCTTACTGCTTCATGTATGGGGGACTCAGGGGGACGAAGCCCTCGCCATGCTATCGTGAGAGTTGTCTCCACAGTTCCCTTTCCGACATGGTAGATCCTTCGAAGGGGTACAGAGTATTTGTTTGCACTTGTTTGCCTTTTGCAGAATTGGGGGACAACTCCATGCTGACTTGACGTTGTGACTTGCATTCCAGTCGATATTCGAGAGGGGGGATGTCTGCTTTAGTTGTTGTGGCAGCTTTTATTGTTGAGCCAGTGGTGATTGCCCTCTCGAGGTACAGGTGACAAAAAGTCACAAACAGTCGACTTGCAAAACCAATTCGTGAAGCAGTCCCTGAGGAAAGAAACAGGGGGAACATGTGTTGCTTTCCCGGGGGTGTTTAATCCTGGTCATGTTTGGATAATGAGCGGGGGAAAGCCAACCATGTCTGCATGTGTCTGAGAGAACATTTGAACATCCTTTCCTTATCAGTGTCATTATTATTTAGCTTTAGCGAGTGGATGTTCAATGTTCGTTCGTCACTCCCCTTTGCCCGATCAACATGATCGGGTGGGCCTACTGGCCCGGGGACGGTGAGACGTCCCCATGCCCGGGAGAGAGAGAGAGAGAGATAGCCATTTTGGCTAACGTCGACCTGCCGCTTCCGCCGGGGGCACTCGAGGGCGGCCCTCCCGGCCTGCTCTTTGTTGTGGACGTCCCTCTGAGTGGAGGGAGGCTTGACTCCTTCGTTGACGCCGTTTTTCTTAAGAAGCCCTTTCGCGCCCCCAGCTTTCCTCGGAACCTGACCGCGGACCCTCCTGCAGGAGGGTGGCCCGCCAGTAAGGGGGAAGAGGCTTGACTGTGGAACCCCGGCAGACCGTCTTGCACGACCTGCACCTTGACTTCAGCGATGGCAAGCTCTTCGGCAGACCCCAGTCAAAGGGGGGAGACAAAGAGAGGCGGCTCCAAACCGCAACGCGACCCCACGGCTAGGCCGCCGAAGGTCAACACTACGTGAGCGGAGCAATGGAAACTTGCAGGGAAACTTCGTGGCCTGCGGGTCCTGCAAAGCCTGCCTCGATTGGCCCTTCTACCACAAACCCCATGACATGGGGGATACGTGCTGCTACAGGCACAAGGTTGCAGGTTGCCACGGGGCAGCGTACCTGTGTGGGACGACCGGTGACCTGCGCAAAAAAATGGACGACGCCAACAACGGCAAAGGGAAGAGCAGACCACTGTCCGACTATGTCAGCTTTGAAACAGAAGATCCTTTCTGCGGAAAAATGGCGGCACATATTCCATCCGATGCTGGTCCTTCCCCACCTTGAGTTTCTGCTATCTATTGCCAAGAATTTCTGACATTCCGTACGGGGTCTTGCTGCGACAAGAGATCTTGCCACAGCTTTGGGTCTCGTGTTTGTGCAGTGTCTGACTTCTGAATGAAGCTGCGCTTCATTAGTTGTTTCCTTCCTCTCATCTCGGTCCGCAAGGGTTTACAAGCACTGTTGGGAAGATAGGAGGAGTTGAGAACATCCCAAGAAAGTCATTTCTGTCTTTTAATGATCTCCCCGCCAAAATTTTGAATGAGTGATGCATGATATGAGAGCCGCGTGCCAACATGCGGGCTTCGGGCTGGCAGGGCCGTGAAAACTACGAATCGACATGACAGTCGACATGTTCCAACGGTGCGAGTCGCAGGCCTTGCGGATGCCGCCTTTGCCCCCAGCCACTGCAGGAGCCTCAGAGTTTCCAGGTCTGTCAATTAGTGAGAGAGCGGAGCGCAGGCTGGTAGTTGTGACAAGTTGTAGTCGCAGTCTTGTAGCCAGACTCGCCGGCCACGGGCAAACAGTGCTCTGGGCAGAGCCACCACAAGTCAATGAAGGAAGGGATCCAATTGCGGAGCATAATTGCTGAGGTGTTGGCAGTCTTTTGGCGCAGAGTCGTACTTTGGAGCCTCTCAGCTTCATGCCCGAGTTTGTTGGATCATGATGTTGCCTGCCCGGCTCGTTTCCAGATTCCTGCTCGACCTGTGCGGGATTGTTGCTTCGGGCAGGACACTGTGGACGGCTTGAGAGAGCGCCTGCAGTTTGCTCTGTCCGTCCGGGCCTGGGGCTGACTTGCTGCATGGTCAGCAACCAGTGGAGTTTGAGGTTGCGAAGATCGCGGAAAAGGAACAGGATCGCAGAGAAGAGCACGAGCGCGCTTTAACAAAGGCAGCCCTTGTTTGCGACCGCAACTCCCAGAAGTGGGCCGGCATGTAGAAGCTTCAGGTGAAAGCTCAAGCCGCGAAACTCGACACTCAGCCTCAACGGTGTAGCACGAATATACGGGACATTTGTTGTGTTGGAGCAGCAGTATGTGGCGACACAAGGTACCATTGATTGACCCTGATCGCCTCCGTCCGAGCCCAACTTTTTTCTGCATGTACGCAGGCACCTGTGGTTTCATAGATTAGGCAAGAAAGCAGCCCACATTGCGGAAGCTGCTCCATCCTTACGAGTTTGCACAGTCAGAAGCTCCAAGTGCATTCGGTGTTGCGACACAGGTTGCGGCCATCAAGGAAGCACGTCTTGCTCTTGTCGCAGCACCTCTCCACACAAGGCGCCGCAAACTTGCTAGACCTGCGAAATCGCTACAGTTCTCCTGGACAGGTCCCCTTCCACCGCTTACGCCATAGCAACCCTTCGGCGATCTGAGGCTCGCCGCTGCCGAGTTAGAGGGGAGAGCTTGTGTGGTTCTGTTCAGCATTCGGTAAACTCTGCCGCTGCCACGTGCCCGTTGACAGCACTGGTCGACAATGCCGGCTCGAGGATTGCAGCGATACGGTACAGAGTCCACATTCGAGCCAGCACATCCCAGACAGATACGTGCCCTCAGTCCTCAGTGATCTGGTGTTCAGCATGGGTGCCGCTCCTCCGTCGGCCCACCGCGCGGCCCTCAGCTGGTGGCATTCGGCGGGATTCGAGACGGATTCATCTGCATCAAGGCCAGTAACATCCCCAAGTGTTCGAATTTGAAGCCGGTACAAGGGCATTTGCCATTCCAGAAACTAGAAGGCTCCATTGATTCGTTGTGCTGAACCGCCAATCAGTTGGGCAGCTACTGCAGTGCTGACTGTGTGGAAGGATCGCATGTTGCTGTCCCCGAGACCAGATGAACCATAAATGTTTGTCCTTCTGGTGTTACTTGTGTTCAGCTCAAGACGAGTCTTTCTAAAGTGTGCTCTGTTCGATATCCGATATCCTAGACAGAGGCTTCATCCTTCAGAAGAGATAGCCAAGCAGCCAAGATGAATTGACCACTGCGGCGTCGTGTCTCGCACATCCCTTTCTGGTGTGGTCGCAGATGAGGCCGAGACGTTGCGAGACAGAGACTGTCGAACCCTCAGCTTTGTCATCTCGCTTGGTTCTCACCTCACGACTTTCTGCTCGACTGTGGCTTTGGACCCACTCATGAAGTGAGCTTCTGTCGTGAGGTCGGCTGCTTCAGTGGCTGTCTCGACATTGGGGTTATGGACGTTGACATTGGGGACTTGTGCCTGGGTGCCCCCGCAGCGTGGCCTTCCTCGAACCCCCCGTTCTGCCTACCGGCCACCACAGGACGGAGTTTTAAAACACCAAGCCGCCCCATGAGCTAACGCCCGAGCCACTCTGTGTTGCTAGGCCACTAAACTTGCTCGGCGCATTGATGAAAACGGCTTTCAAGCTCCTGGCAACACCGGCAAGGAGCAATTGGCCATGGTGGCCGCTTCGCTTCGCAGAGAACGCGCGATGATCGAGGAGAAGCAGGGGCAACTTCAGCGGACCCACAGCTGGAATGGGGGGATGCGAGGCATGTGAAGGAACCTTGGTGTGCGATCGTAGTTACATGGCGTGGTACTATCTTCTGTCCCATGGTGCAATGAGGACTGCTGCTATGCTATCGAAGGAGAAACGGCGGATCGAGGTGGAGCAAGAAAGTTAGATGAAACGGGACCCAGTGCACGGTAAGTGCAATAGGTGTGATGGAGTCGCTGTAGCTGGATCGTTCATGCATCTCCTGCTTTCAACTCTGGCCTCTGGCAGGGTGAATTGACAGAACAGGCGATCGAACTCCAGGAGTTTAAGTCCAAAGCGGAAGCGACACTGAAAGCCGAGCGAGCGGCGCTCGAGAAGGAGAAAGCTCGCCTGGCCAAAGAGTCCGAGGCACATCGAAGTGGAGTCGGTGCAACCACAGTTTGATGCACCCGGCTTTGTGCAGGCAGTTAGGTCGTTCTCATCGTGTTGTGTGTATGTGTGTGTGTCTCTGTCTGTGTGTGTGTGTCTCTCTGTGTGTGTGTGTGTTTGACACGGCACCAAGTCAGCACTCTAGAAACAGGCTGAGCAAGGGCCTTTACGACAGCCTTGCTAGACGGCTTTTCCATAGGGTTTGCTCTATCAGCGAATGTATACGGCACACGGACATGTGAACCACAACCTCTGAGCTTGTGGGCGTGGGCATGTGGGCGTGGGCGTGCCGCTACGACCTAAAAGCCGCAGTATGGTGAGATGGCGCTTGAGGGACCCTCGTGGATTCGGGGGTTTGTCTGCTTTGGCGGCCATGCCCTTGCACAGACAAGGAGATGACAGACCTGTTTCGGAAGTGTCCGAAAACACAGGTGTGAGCCACACATCGACTTCGGCATGACTCAAGACTGGGCAAATAAGTTGTCCTCTTCCTTATCCTTCCATGTTGGAATGGTAAGTATCGCGGGAGCGGGGAAACAAGGATGTTGACGTTCGGAACTGCAATGGGTGCGTGGGGCGGAGGGGGGAGGGGCAGGTGCAGACGGAAGGAGGGCATTGACAAGCAGAATATGTGATCATCTGTCATCTATGCTTCTGCCGCTTCTGCGGCAAATTTTGCAAAGACCGAGCATAGGCAGTGCGATGTGCGTAGCTTGGACTTTAGCTGCATGAGTCTAGCAGGGAGCCTGATCCGCTGCAGCGCTATTCAGAGAAGGTCAACTGCAGTCGGCATTGGTTTGAGACTCGGCTGACAGGCTCTCGCGATGACGCAGCAGTCCCTCATGCAGCGAGCCGAATCAATGAGCAAGAGCCAGCCTCAGTTTTTGGCGCCAAGAAAGAGGTACCAGTAGGGTCATCGCGAGTTGCGTTCCAAGTACTAGGTCTGCCAAAGATGCCGACAGCAACGAGCAATCCCTCGAGCTTATTGAGGCTGTGAGGCGTGAGAAGGCCTCGTCTTCGCGGGTTTCGGAAGCAAGCTTACACGGTGCATTCTCGCGCCTTGCCATGCCCGTATCATGCATTCCCGCCAAGGCGGCACTGAAGCGAGGGAGGCAGCAGCTAAGGCGAGAAGCTGAGGCTCAGGGCGGAGAGAGAGCAGTGGAAGCAAGGTTAAGGGGGCCAGCGCTCTGATTGTTGTGACATTGTGGGCAGGCGATAGGCGAAGCCAGGCGCCAGCTAGAGGCAAGCATGGACCGAGGCCAGCATCGAAAAAAGTCGACGTCCCCTCCACGGCTCCTTTCCTCTCACTCTCCTCTCTCTCTCTCTCTCCCAAGGATTCTGTCGCCAGGACAGGAGCTCGAGGAACTGCGAGCAAAAGCAGAGGCCCTGGAAGCCGAGGCCCGGATTCGGGTTCGGAGGAGGGGGGAGTCCTTGCCGCGAGCCGCAGCCGCAGCTGCAGGCTGACGCCCTACGACGTGAACGCACAGCACTGCAGAAGCAGCGTGCTCGGATTCATGCTGAAGCCGAGGAGCACGTCAACCCTCAGACAGGGCAGTCCACAGTACTAATATGATGATGTGATGGGAGGAGATTGCTGAAGAGCGAGAGAGCTTGGAGAAGGAGGCCAAAGCTCTTCATCGAGTAGTCGCACGAGGCTCCGACAGATAATAAACCTGGTGTGTATGAAACACGATCTAGGGCTGTTTTGTTTCCTCTGGACCACTGTGCGGCCTGACGGGCCTCTGCGAGGTGAAGAGGTGGGAAAGGCCGACAAAGATCTTCTGGCCTCGCTGCGTGCTGCAGTGGCTTTGCCGAATAGTTGATAGCTTCGCAGAGTGCGACTGGATGTCGGCCACTACAATCGCTGGCCCTCTCCTTGCAGATTGCACTTCTTCCACTTCCACCCCTTGCGGAATCACACACTGCAACAGCTCAGGAACAGCAGCTTGCGCAACAGACAGCAGAATTTCGTGGCTCGGCATCGCACATCTCTTGGAGACTTGGTGAGTTAGTTGCTCATGTCACTCAGAAAATCGACATGCTTCTGCACGCGACATGCGTCATCTGACGAAGGCAACTTCAAGACCCGAGTGGAGCAGCAAGAAAAGTCTCTTGGCCAAAGGGCCTTGGCCAAAGCCGCAACGCCGCTCCTCTCCGTCCTTGACGACTTTGGGAGAGCTCGTCTGGCTGGAAACTCCATTGGACACTTGCAAAAAAAGATTCGAATTGCTTTAGCTTGACCCGGCCCTTCAGTGGAGATCTGCCAGATGCAGTGCTGTCAGGAGAAGTTCAGGCAGTGTTGCGTCCGCTACGAAATCGCTTGGTGGCTCCTGGCATTGACTTGTTGGCTGCTGATATGGAACTTTACGTATCTATGGAGCACGGTAACAGGGATTTGTCTCTGCTATTTGGACCCCAGGCTGTTCTGGAGTCGGAGTTCGGCATCAGGCCGATGCCCGACACTGTTGGCCAGGACGGTGGTTAGAATTGGGATGCGCTGGGGCAGTGTTGGGGTATGTTGGGATGTTGCATGCCGGAACTGACAGGCGTTCAACCCAAAGCTCCACGACGCAATCTCCATCAGAGCCGAGGATCGAGTGCCGAAGACGCAGTCACGCGCAGCTCACGAAACGCAGCATACCGCAACCATCCGCAACCCGATGAGGAGAGTGTGTCCCAGGCGAACCCAGCCGGACAGAACTTCGAGCATGTGGCATCGGCTAAATCTCGTCAACGCTTCAGAGAGCACATGCGCTTCGCTTTCGAACGGATCACCTGTACCGTCGACCAAGGCAATCCTTAAGAGCTCACACCAACGTGTGTGTCATCACTGACCACACATGCGCGAGCAGGTTTAGCTGCGCGAATGCGTGTTCGCGGATGTCTCGAACTTTGGTCTCTCAATTGCGCAGTCTACAAGATCAAACGCAGCAGTGCTGACAACACAGCATGCCCAAAAGATACCAACAGTCGAATCCAACCAAACTTGCAGAAGGAGAGGGTGCGTACAAACGAGCATATGCAACAGGCGGGAAGCCAGGTAAAATTGCGGTCAGACTTTTTCCCCAATGAGGTCTCATTGACTGAGTGTACGTAGATACTTTGCTTTGACGAATGAAGGACTGGGTTTTCGGCCAGGCAGACCTGCTAGCCCCATCATGCTAGTGTCACTTCTGTTCCAAAGGTGCCTCCAGACACCGTGGTTGAGCAGCTGGAAGAGGGCTTCTGCTTCGGTCATTCAGATGAGGTTCTACGACCAGCAAAGGCGCCGATGTCACAGCTTTGTTGCGGTGCTGCACGAACAAGAGGGACAGGCTCACGGTTGAGATTTTGTGCACATCAGGCTTCCATAGCCTTCACGCAAGTTCCGATCAGTCCAAGCTCTGGGTGATCGCATTTGCTTCCAGGTGATAGTTTCCAGTGCAATGTGAGGGTAACATCGAGATATTGTTTTTAAGTGAAGGCATTGCATCTGCCCTTTGTCTGCAATTTTCAATGCCATGCCCAAGCCCGCCACGAAGGGGGGTATACTAGATTGCACCATGAAGTGTGCACTTGCCCGGCATGTCATCTCCCCAAGGGAGCAATTTCAGCCTCGTTTTCGTTGCCATAGACGCTGGGTTCGCAAAGAAGGTACAGCATTGTACAGCGGCGTCGAGCATGATAAAAGCTCTGCGCGCACCTGCCTGTCCTTTGCGGGACCCCACCTTCTGCCCTTATTTATCCGCACTACTCCAACTTGCAGGCGGCCATCCAGAAAGCATGCTTGGAGCCGTCTTTTCACGTTAATGTGCGGTCCTGGCTGCACAAGCATCAGAGTCTTGGCACGATTGACGTTATGCCAGACGTGTTCCACATCGTAGAGGCAAGGCGAACATGTCTTGTGACTCTGCATTGGCAAGGCTGGACAGCTGTTTCGATGTACTGGTCGTCAGAGGCTGGGGTTAAGTTGTGGAATTTGAGAGAGAGAGAGAGAGAGTGTGTGTGCTTAGACTTTTTTTTCTCCAGCTGCAGTAGAGCCAGGAGCTATAGAATAGCTGGAAGGCCCAACTGGCCGCTATTCCTGGCACTCTACTACAGTCGGTCGACTGCACGCTCGAAAGATTGCTTCCGTGAGGTGTTCTCGAATCTCTCCAGCTCAAGGAAGCCTTTCAGGCCCGGACATGGACACACAGAGGGTGCGGGCACATGAAAGGGGGAAGAACTCCTCTGTAGAGCGTGGAGGCTGATGCAACCCAGAGCTTGCCCGGAAGATTTGTCGATGCGTTGGCGAAGGTCCCTCCTGCAGCCTGTTGATGCCTGTGGGGCTGAGCAACCAGTTGACAGCCTAGACCTGCGATGTTCTGTGAGGCATTGTATGAAGGTGGTGACCTTCGCCGTGTGCATGGAACCAGACAGCTGCCAGACGGCTGGGTCAGCACGGCTGGCCCTTGTGAAGCTGCTCATTCGAGGATTCCTTGTGCGAATCTGCCAGGAGATGGTCTACTCACGCAGTGCAGGCACTGGGCCCAGAGAATGGCCACTACTACTTGCATCCAACGGCATCGAGGTCTCTTCTATTACCACGAGATTCCCAAGGGTGGGGCGCAGAACGGGCGAACACAGTGGCAGTTTCCAGATCTCCAGGCCGAGTCTTGGTAAAATCAATGAAGGGCTGTTCCGCCGTTGGCAAGTGCGGGAGAGGCCCGGGTGAGGCCTAACAGCATGCAGAGAAAGAGTACTTGAGCTGAAGATATGCCTGTGGCGTTCTTCTTTTCGGAAGAGGCTCCGAGTTGGTGCAGTTTGCATCGTTTCAGTAAAAAAAAGGATGCCATTACATTGCAAAGGGTAGGTGACTGTCTGCCGACGGTGGGAAGACAGCAAAAGCAAGCATGTACAAACTCTGGACATGTACTCGTAGCAGTTAGCTGTGAGGAAACCTAGTGAGCACAGGCTTTGCACTCTCCAAGTCGGGTCTAGCCGGCAACTCTCCCAATCTTTTTTGGAGCCACATGGGAGGAAAGGCCTCAAGCAAGATAGCATAGAAGACCAGCGAATCTTGGTTTGATAAGTCTCTGTTCACCAAGGAGTCCCATCCTCCTGAAGTTCCGAATGCCTTGACGTCTGAAAGGCAGGCCTGCTGGTCATCTTTGTGCCACTACTTGTTGCTGTGTCGTCAGCTGACAGACCAGCACATGTTCATCTTCGAACCAGGGGCGCCCCTTCCAACAGCGTTCCATATGTGGAGCTGGATAGTGGAGGCTGGAGATAGCTTTGCAGGGTAGACTCAGCCAAAGCAGTTTGTTGCTGCGGCTGCTGTAGAAGTAGTAGTCAGTAGTAGTAGTAGTAGTAGTAGAAGTAGTAGAACTAGTAGAAGTAGTAGTAGTAGTAGTAGTAGTCGTAGTAGTAGTCGTAGTAGTAGTCGTAGCAGTAGTCGTAGTAGCAGTCGTCGTCGTCGTCGTCGTAGTAGTAGTAGTAGTAGTAAGTAGTAAGTAGTAAGTAGGAAGTAGTAAGTAGTAAGTAGTAAGTAGTAAGCAGTAAGTAGGAAGTAGGAAGTAGGAA